TAATTACTATAGTAACCTATTCGAGCACAGTGAGGAGCCAGCCTCCTTCCTATTACGTAACCTGTCCCCTACTCTGCAAGCTATTTCCGCGTGGCACTCTTCTATGATAATTGACAGCAACAGCAAGTCGGTCCATACCCTCCCAGTTTGGTTACAAGATGTCTTGGTCAACGGATTAAGTTTCTGGCGAAGTGGCCTCTACCTCCGTGACGGAAGATGGCGGCAGTTTGAATCTTTAGACTGTATTGATATTGATTCAGTTCATAACGATTTTCAGCGAGAGATTCCTTATGTTTTGTTCTACCCTGACTTGGTTGAGAATGTAATGCGTGCTTGGGCAAAGTACCAGAGTGATGACGGCCACATTGTGGAAACTCTAGCTGCTGGATGTTATTCCCCTACTAGAAAAATAGACAGGTGTGTTTATGTAGCTTGAGAAAACAGTCGATATTTCGCGACGCAACCGGTGTTTTCCCTGAAAAATGACGTCTGAGGTGGAAGCAAGCCCAGAAATTCCATACCGATGACGTACCACTACCCAGATCTGGGTTGTGCTTCTGACTGGTTGGAAATTTGCCTTATCCAATCAGAAGGCGAAGCACTACCCAGACCTGGTTAATGACACGTCATCATTATGGAATTTCTGCGCTCGTTTCTCAGACGTCATTTCGAGAGGAAACAAGTGGTGGCGTCGCGAAATGTCGGCAGTTTACTCAGGTTAGTTTATATTTTTCTGTTAGTATCACATTCCCTTTTCCTTCTAAACAGGACAATTTCACAAATTCATCATTGGACTACAACTTACTATATTTAATTGATTTTCGTTTTGTTTATCATGATTTGCACCAGAAAAGACTGAACGATGCTTGGTTATATGGAGACAAACCTTTGATATTGGAATTTCTATTGTACAGCCCTGTAGAGCAGCCTCTTAATCCAACATCGAATAACAATAGAGACAGAATGGTAAACAGTTTTACCAAAAGTTCTATGGTCACAACAAATCACGTTGCAAATTCATTATGGTAGCTTATGGGAAAGTTAAAATGGAAAATTGGTTATTTTAACATCTTTTTTTAAAATCTTTTTTATCTGTCAGAAAAAAAATCTTTCGAACAATATTGACTTGGCACCTTTCTCTTCTACAGTGGTCCTCCAAATCAGCGAATTATGGGCGATGTCACCACGGTTTTCATAACAGAAACCTACCATATTTATCTGTGGACCAATAACAGCGTTTTCTTAAAAGACATGTGGCCGCACGTGGTTAGGGCGATTGCTTGGATGATTGACGGAGGCACAAAAGGGACTGGTTTACCTTACAGACTACAATGTACATATGATCAGCTCTCTCTCAATTTATACGATCACAACACCTTTAACAGTTTCTTGTATGTCCTGGCCCTACGAGCGGCTGAGGAGCTATGCAAGATAATGGACAACTTGGATTTGTTGAAGGAAGTTTCAGCAGCACTGGAGGTTGCAAAATATCAAATATCGGAAGAATTATGGAGCGAAGAAGATGGTTATTATCACGCTTGGTGGGATAAGGAGAAAGGTTCACCGTCCTGGCTGATGAGTGATTCACTGTACGCTCAAGTCTGGGCCTATACTCTGGGACTAGGACACTTGGACGATCCAAAAAGGTTAGGATGTATCTTCCGGCTTCAGGATAACTTTTTACTTCCGGGGTTTGAGTTCAGTTGTATTTCTGGGTAGCTATCACAATTTTTTTTTTGCGCTGTTCTTAAAATTTTCTTGACTACACTGAGCGGCGAAGGTTTGATGACCCAAAAATGGTTAGGTACCATTACTAAAATGTCCTAATGACTAATTTGGCGCCTTTTTCATTCTCATAGTAAAGCCATGTCCATTACGCTGCATCGTGCACAATAATTTTGGTCACAACAGTTCAGAAGACACTACTACTACGTTCATTATAGAGGGCCGTAGGTTAGAACACTGTAAAAGGTTATAACGTCTCTCTCCTTTATAAAGTATTGTTATGTATTGTACTATAGGGCCATTGAAGCAAACGCATTTTATTAATTCCCTGTGTACAGGCTCAGATCTCATTTAATGAAAGAACTTGAAATCAACGATACACCATATGGGCTCCGAGTGATGGCTACTGACCATCCAACTAACAAGAGCGTGGGCTCATGTCCCAAGGATATCAGTACTAACAAGTTAAACGAGTTGGTGGCGCTACACGAGTCAATCTGGATGGGCGCCAACCCTGACTGGACGACTCTTCAACTTCATTTGGGTAAGCTCATATAATTGCCAGCAAGAAGAGGGTCGTCTTACTTGTTTCGGTTTCTGCCTAGCACATCATTGACGTGGAAGTTGATTATCCCATGGGGGCAACCACTTTGAAAAGAAGTTAAGGAATTGTAGGTTACAATTAGCCAGACTTGACACGTTAACCTGAAAAAATTGGTCTTTGATTCATTCGTTCGTTCATTCCTGTAGAATGTAGGTTCATGCATAACATTTAATGTTGGTAAACGCCATCCATAACGCGCGTTTATAGAAGAATGTAGCCTGTTCCAGGCGTTCCCAGTCCTCCCTCGTTTTCCCTGAATACATCATCAGATTACGGTAATAATGTTGCCATACCCTCAAACGTTTCCAACCTCCCTTGACAAAAAATTCAATTAGATTTCACAGCTCGAGCTTATCGCCTCTCCTTCGGCTAAGCGAGGTTGAAAAGAGAGCTTTCCGCACCTAAAAAAGGTTCTCACTCATTGATGATCGGTAAACAGTGACTACACAGTGTTTCTCTGAATTACTTCTAGTCATGGAAAATAGTCTGAAAAATTATTTCCCTGCCGTTAATGTGTTTCCTCCCTGTCCCAGTGTGAGAAGACGAAGCGTTTCTTTCATGACAGATTTCGAGGACATATTACAGTACACCTTCCTCTTAACAGACACTTTTAGACGATTGACACCTAAAACAGGACAGTAAGGGTTTTCCCCGCAGTTCTTCAGTTATATGCTGTGACTCTCTCAAAGGCGAACAGCTCTATAAGACGGATACTCGGTGACAGTTCAAACGGTGCCCTTCTTAGAGAGAGTTGACTGAAGTAACTCTTGAGTGCTACGTTAATGCAAATCTTGAAACAATCTTATTTCAGGTTTGGACCCTCAGAAGGCGTTACTACAAGCTGAGAAAACCATAGAACACGTTCGTTCAGAGCTGAATGACGAATGGGATTTTCATGGACTTTACTCGGGGAATGGGTACGGACTTGATGGTCTCCCGTGGTGCACCTCGCACTATGCCTTTCACATGGTACTATGGCACATTCCTTTTGCGATCTCGGGCCAGTCCTTCTCGGCACCAGAAGCAACACTTTCATTTGAACCTAAGCTCTCTTGTCCGTATAACGTTCCCTTCTATACATCGTTTGCCACGGGGACTTTGCAATGTACCTTTGTCCAAAAACGAAATCAAACCAAAATGAAGTTTCAAATTATGCCGACCTCTGGTGAGATGTTTCTGCAACGGCTTGCGGTCAGCGGCTTTCGATATCCAAGTGCACTAACGCTGAAACAGGGTGAAGTAGTCACGTGGTTTTCACATTAATTTCCAAGGTTGCTTCAGTTTGAATTGCCTTTCTTTACAACTGATTGATGAGTTGTAATTTATCGCAAGAGAAATTCGTTTAGTCTCAATTGATAAGGGAGCATAATAAAAAACTAAGAATTATGGGGATCAATATAATAATGAGGGAGGCAGAGAGTCGTCATTTATAGTGTTGAAATGACCTTACCCTATGGTATATTCCAAAGTAGTTTACATGGTCAATGGGGTGAAACTGAACAATGTCAAATGCCCAAAAGGCTATATTCAAATTTTCTACGATTGTCTCTGTCTTTGCCATCTCTTTATAAGTTTAGGCATAAGAGTTTGAAAGAAATCATTAATTCATTAGTTTTTGCACTGTTTATTTTAATTCCAGCAAACTTACGAAGGTGCAACAATTTTATTTTCTGTGCACAATATAAAACTGATCGATAATTAGCAAGTTTAGCGGAGAACAGTCGTTCTCGTACAATGAACCAAACAACTACGTACTTAACTTATGAAACTAATAGCTAAAAGCCAAAAATTAAAAGAATTCTTAATTCTAGTTCGAATTCTCAGGGATTTTCAATTCGAGCCCGTAAAACTGGACAAGTCAGTAATTGACAAGTAGACATGACTCGCAATTCCTTTCATTTTTCTTCCTATATAAATACGCAAATTTATTTTGTTACACATTTTTTTTTCTACGATTTTAATGCTCTTTATTACTAACATTTTCTCCACCCATGGGTAAGAAATGGTACAAATGACCACTTTTCTATTTGCATATTGTTAGCACTTCCTTCCTTAATACTAAGATAACTAATTTGGAGAGGTTTTGGGCATGCAGCGAAGGGTGAAAAAAAAATTAAAACGTTCTATGGGTGCATATTTGAATTATAGTAAAGTATCTCGAGTAAAAACCGTTAATGATGATGATGTATGAAGCATATAAGAAACCAATAAATGGCAAGGGCGCGCATCCTGCCACGCACTCTTGACAACTGCATTTGATCAGTGACAGATCCAAAGGGAGGAGAGGGAAGGGGACGAGACCTGTTATACCAGCTACGTTTTGTCCCTTTCTAGTCCTAGTAAATACTGTAACTAACCATGTACTGAGAAGGGCCATTACTTACACTCCAGTTAATGTAAGAAAACCGATAATGTTATGAATTAAATTGACATTATAATTCAAGCGTTAGCAGCGTCTCGCTTGTCGTGATAATTGTCACACAGTTCAACAGAGGTTCTCCAAGCGTTGATCACGTGCTTTAGTTGCACTTCCGATGGCAATTCGTCCAGTCCTGGCACTGGTTCATGTCCTTTGTTGTCAAGATGCCACTCGATGTATTCACCCAAGCTGAATAAAATGAGACACAGCCGTTGTAAGATGATACGCAAATTATCCAGGTCATATTTAACCACTGGGGAGTGGGTTGGAACACAAGCCGAGTTTTGTAATCTGGACTATATCAGATAAAATATCTCTCTGAATCTTTGGTGTAGCTTAACTTCTTAATATGATCAACAATAGTAGTTAGGGGAGGGAGGGGGAGCAGCGTGGACGTTACACTTGCAATCCAGAGGTCCTAGGGTCGAGTACATCTCTGATCACTATCAAGACTTGCTTCTCGACAGTCCAACATAAAACTCCGCGTTCATGCTGGTAAATAGCCAACTACAGATAAACATTCCACAGATGACGACGTCAAGCATAGACATACTAGTGGTAATAGAAGCAATCTCTCCAAAGTTACCTCATTTCTTCTTCTCCGGGGACTGCATCACCTCTTAAGTTTAGCAAAATAAGTTCTAGGACCTCACAGACAAAGCGATCCAAGTCAATCCTTCTCATTCCACTGCTAAACTTCATCAGCTGAGGTCGGGACATGACCTGTTTGTATTTGTCCGAAATCTGCTCAAACGGATCCTGCATAGGCAATAACACTGAAAGTTAAGTCTTACTTAAAGCATTGCTGTTTACACATCTCTTACAGGATTACATTACTTAGATTAACAACTGAAAAAAACTTAAATCAATCGTGGTGTGTTAAGCAAGTGTAAGCAAGCTCTGTATTTCGAGTAACGAGCGAGGCGAGTCGCAAGAGATTGCGTGAGTGAGTGGCAAAGCCCCGTGCCCTCGCGCCTTTTTTCGCTACCCGCTCGTGCGCGACTCCTAACAATATTCCCCAAATACAGAGCTTGTTCTAAGCTACTTTGGGTCTAATATCGTATGTATATACAGTCTTGGAGGTCTGATTGGTTTAATTGGCTATTTGCGTTTGTTTCGATTGCACGGAGTAACTACTTTCTCGTTTATTATACGACACTCAAGAGAGTACCGAAGTGATGACGTCATAAAAATGAAATTTGTGAAGTTATGGGATTTGTTAAGCTATTCTGAAAGAACAACGTCCAAGACGCCTACTCGCCAAAAATTAGCAATTCGGGGCAAATTGTCTCTGAGATATTAGCCCAGTTATGCTGTGACGATTCCATACAAATCCTTCTAAATCTTACCTGGTTCCTAATCTTATGAACCAAGCCAAATTTAGAAGGATTTGTATGGAGTCATCGGAGCATAACTGGGCTAATATCTCAGAGACAATTTGCCCCAAATTGCTAATTTTTGGCGAGTAGGCGTCTTGGACGTTGTTCTTTCAGAATAGCGTAACAAATCCCATAATTTCACAAATTTCATTTTTTATGACGTCACACTTCGGTACTCTAGTAAGAAGTCGCTTTTAAGTCTCCTTGTTTTTAGTTTTGTTTTGATGAGAAAGTTGATAATTCCTCAGCTGAATGTTGTTACGAAGTCTTTGCGAATGTCGTGCAAAGGTTAAATGTAAGTTAAAAATGGAAATATAAAATATTCCTTACCTCGCCTCGCCTTATAAGAATTCTGGCTCTCTCAAGGGTGAGAAGTCGCCAGAGAGAGATCACGTGACGTAACTGACAGTACTGCTGGGCCTGAAAGAGAAAATAGAAGAAAAAAGACACGTAGAATGTATTGGATTCAACCCGAGAGGAATCTGTTGGCAACAGAATACCCGGAGTGATATGCATTCGAAAGGGAAAGGGAAAGAGGAAAATCGGGCACACAAACGCGAAGGTTGCTGCAAAAGTCAAGTCTTTACTGTACAAACTTAACTTGAGTTGTAGCTACAGTTTATACCTTCAAACTCCGTAGAGTATTTTGTTGCATGCGTAGCACCCCTCCTAGATAGGTACTGAGGAGCCTTTCAGGGGCTCCCCCAGTGGAAGATAGAAAACCAATGGCAATGTCCAAAGATGACAGCACGTCACAGATGTCAGTCAGGGAGCGAAACTCGCTTATGACTTGACAGCTTACTGCTGAACTCAGAGGAACCTGAGAAAAGACAAAAATATATCCGTAGTTTAACTGAATCTCACAGTTCTTTAGAGTGCCTCTGGTCATGGATATTACGACAATTAACACTGATGCATTGACTACATTCAGGTCCTAAAATATTCGAAGATGAAGGTGCCTCGTTCGCTTCCAATAACTGCAAAAAAACTGAGTACTCAAGTGACTATGAATCTACTTTACAATGGAGGCATGTGTCACGCGGGGTAACCGTTTCTCGTACAATTAATTTTAATGTCGTTATACTCCTTGAGGCTAGTCTGTAGGTTAGCTCTAGTACACTAATAAGAATGGTTTTACCTGAGGAACTTTTGCCTTTACAGCAGCAAAGACAGAGTCCAGTTGGATATCTTTACTGAATGCAAACCTCTCATCCTACAATAACAATTGAACAAATTGGACTTTTAATATCAAGTATAATAAATAGAAAAAATGGAACGGCAGCAATGAACCCTTAACACTACACTCTTTTTTAAAGAGTAAATGAGAGTAAGTACGGGACCGTGAAAACCTTTTTTGAAAAATAAATATATATGTGTGAGTCATTAACTTACTAAATAAATATATAAATAGTGAAT